CCCCAACACCCCTCCCAGCTCCTTGGGAGGTCCCTGGCCATCTCCAAGGTCTTGGTTTCCACCACCAGCTCCTCTTCCCCCACTTCCGCTTCACGTTGCACATCAACACGTTGGCCCGAAGCACCCTTATCAATCCCGGTGGCACCATTGACAAGGTGAGGCCTAGGCACTGGGAGCACTGGGGGGCACTGGGGTGTATTGGAAGTGCTGGGGGTTATTGTAGTATGCTAGGGGCACTGGGGAGCACCAAGGGCCCTGGGAGACGCTAGAGAGCACGGGGGTGGGGCTGGGGAGCACTGGAGACAATAGAGTATACTGGTGGCACTAGGGTCCACTGGATGCGTATTTGGAGTACTGGTGCCCTGGGAACACTCAGGGGCACTGGGTTGTACTGGGAGCGCTGGAGACTGGGGAGCACTGCGGGGGGGACTGCAGTATACAGGGAGCAGGGGGGGCACTGGAGGGCTACTTGGAGTACTGGTACCCTAGGAGCACATGGGGGCACTAGAGTGTACTGGGAGCACCGTGGGGCACTGTGGCAGTACTTGGGGGTCTTGGGGTATACTGGGAGCACTAGGGGGTACTGGGGAGCACAGAGGGCCCTGGCGGACACTGGAGAGCTTCAGGGGAGGGTGTGGAGCTGGGGAGTCTATGGTCACTGGAGTATACTGGGAGCACTGGGGAGCAGATGGGGGCTGGAGGAGGGGGCATGGTACCTCCTGCCCTTAGCACCCATGGATGCCACCTCCCCACCAGGGCTCGGGAGTCACCTATGAGGGGCTGCAGCTGATCGTCCAGCGGGGGTTGGAGAAGGTCACCTACACGTCCCTCTGCCTCCCCGACGACATCGAGCACCGCGGCATGGCCCACCTCCCCAACTACCACTACCGGGACGATGGGATGAGCCTCTGGGAAGCCACCAAGAGGTGGGACCAGCAAGGGGTTGGGGTGACAGCTGGCGGTGGTCCCATGGGTGCTCCATGACCTCACGGTCCCCTCACCCCACGGTAGCTTCGTCTCCGGCATCGTGGCTTTCTACTACGGGGAGGACGCGGCGGTGAGCGGCGACGCCGAGCTGCAGGCATGGGTGATGGAGATCTTTACCAATGCCTTCTTGGGCAGGACCTCCTCAGGTACCGTGTCCCTGCACCCATGGGTGCCACAGGACATCCTCAGGGGTGTTGGGCGTCAAGGACGGGTCCCTGATGCTCTTTGGGGTCCCCACTCCCCACCCCCAGGTATCCCCTCCTCGCTGCAGACAGTGGCGGAGCTCATCAAGTTCCTCACCATGATGGTGTTCACCTGCTCAACACAGCACGCGGCCGTCAACAGCGGGCAGGTGGGACAGGGGATCTCTGACCTCTCTGCACCCAAAAGATGTCCTTAACTGTCCCCAACCCATGTTGGAGAGATTGTCCCCCTCTAACCCCTCTGTGCACAGGAGGGATGTCCCCATCCTGAGCCAGGGTAGATGTCCGTGTCTCATCTCTCTTCACGCAGGAGGGATGTCCTTATCCATCCCCTCTCCGTGCTGGAGGGACATCCCCACCTCAGGAAAATGTCCCTGTCCAACCTGTCCCCAGTCCAGAGGGATGTCATCTGCTGACAGTGACCTCTCACCCTGCAGTATGACCTGGGAGCCTACCTCCCCAATGCTCCATTCTCCATGCGCCACCCACCACCGTCGGAGAAGGGCAAGGCCTTCCTCCAGCACTTCCTCGACACCGTCCCTGATGTGGCCACCACTGCCCAAAACCTGGTGGCCCTCACACTCCTCAGTTCCCGCCTCAGTGACGTGGTGAGTCTGGACCCACCATCACCACGACCTCCCCAAAATGGGGAGCTCTGTGGGGCTGATGAACCCCAAGAGGTTCCTCACAAGGGTGTGGGTGCACATCAGCATCTTGGGCATCCCCAAGCACAGGGTGGTGGCCACCATCGCTTTACAGCTACCAGGGTGCTTAGACACCCCCAAGTGGTTGAACCTGATGGGTCCCCATCCCTATGTCCCCCA